TTAGTAAAGGTGGAGCAGAAATAAGGATTTTTTTTTCTTGCTAGCAATATTTAGTAATGGCGGAGCAACTCTTTTTTTTTTTTTTTTTTTTTTTTGTCTTGTCTCCTGTCTCTTATACACATCTAGATGTGTATAAGAGACAGGGCAGCGTGCTGGAGCTTCTTTTGTGCGCCAGGCAATGCTGATGTGGCACTACCTATGGTCTACATGAGATGCTGTTGTGGCGCTGCCTCTGTTCTCCAGGCAATGCTGATGTGGCGCTGCCTCTGGTCTTCATGGCATGCTGATGTGGTGCTGCCTCTGGTCTTCATGGCATGCTGATGTGGCACTACCTATGGTCTACATTGCATGCTGATGTGGCACTACCTATGGTGGTCTTCATGACATGCTGATGTGGCGCTACCTATGGTCTACATTGGATGCTGATGTGGCGCTATCTCTGGTCTACACTGGCAAACGTGGCACTGCCTCTGGTTTTCGGTGCATGCTGATGTGGCGCTGCCACTGGTCTTCATTGATGATGTGCCATATGCCACCTATCGCGACTGCTGATGTGGCACTGTACATGCTGTCTACATGAGGTGACTGGTTCTCAAGAGGAGGAAGGTCGGGATCTGTGGATGAAGGAGGTCGGGTACTCACCTGAGGTTGACGTCATCACTGGCATCTATTATATCTTCATGGTCTTCACGAGATCAAGTGCCGCGTGGCACTTCTGTGTGTGACCAGGAATATACTTATTATCATTATTGACGTGGAGAGGCGAGAAGCCCGGAGAAGGAGAAGGATTAGAAGGGATTATTACTGTGTGATCTCTCACCTTCTCCTTTGTCTGTTCTCCCCTCCTCTCCTTCCTCTGTCTTTTGTGATGGTAATGAGATACTGTTTGATTATCATTTCGCGATTTGGAGACTTTGATGCAGAGGTTGAGACTACTGATGTTTGACGACTTCTGAGTGTGTGCCAGACTGGGTTCATTGCAGAAATGTCAGCAGAGGAATTTCCAAACGGTCCAAATTTCTCCAAAAGACAGCTTTTTTTTTTTTTTTTTTTTTCAACACTTTACTGAGTGCGTGGAGCCTGTTGCGTTCTCGAGTATTTTTTTCCTTCTTCAAAGGACCACATTATCGGGCCTCTATCCAATACTCTCGAAAAGTGTGTGTTGTGAGGTCCCCCGCCTCGTCTTATATTCATATGAATCGAGTTTGATTGTTGAAAAAAAAAAAAAAAAAAAAGATACACCGGCATGATTTTTGTGATTTGTGCATGTCGAGAGCAGTGGAAAGAATAAAGGCCGCCTTTAGGCCTAGTTGGACATGAAGGAATTGGTAGATTCACAGTAGATTAAATAAACTGGGGACCCTCAGGTGTTTCATGTAGAGCTGTCCCTGTTAGGGTGCTGGTCTTGCTGACCAGCATTCCCAGAGAGGTTCAGGGTTCAGCTTTTTTTTTTTTTTTTTTTTTTNCCCATAAGTTGAGATATATGCCAAAATGCCCCTAAAAGATGAGTATAGAGCGGAATGTACCTCTGACAAAAGAAGTATTTTGTGAAATACCCCTGCTGTCCATTGGACACACATCTTTGCAATTATACCCCTACCGACTACGGTCCAGCTTTGCAAAATGCCCCAGTACTTGCCAACTTTTCCTAGGCGCTATTCCAAAAGCCCAAGGCCCAATCAGCGAGGGCCAGATTGCAAAATTGCACACGCGCCTGACAGGGGCACACAGCACAAAGATGTCGGCAAACAAGGATATTCCGCTCTACCCACATCTTTCAGGGGCATTTTGGCATATATCTCAACTTATGGGGGTATTTTGCAAATTATCCCTAATAATAATAATAATAATAATAACAATAATAATGAAAAATTGGACTGCCAACGCACACCCCCCCTCAATGATCCTCCAGTCCTCCCATCATCTCCCAGTTCTTTGGCCATTTCTTTCATCTACTTCCTCTCCCCTCTTCATCTTCCTCTTCCCTGACAACCATCATTACCTAAGCAGGAAAAGGATTCCAGGTAGAGAGCTGTGAGGACAGCGGCCTCGTGGATATTTCCTTTATTAGAAATAAAAAATAAACGGTTTCTCATTCAAAAAAGAAAAAGAAAAAAGAAGAAAAAAACACGAGCAGGAAGAGGAAGAGGAACAGGAAGGACTACATTTATCCATACCCCCCCTCCTCGCTTTCTTACGATGTTCCATCAGGTGGTCCCTTTTTTTTTTTTTTTTTTTTTTTTTTTGGGGGGGGGGCTGCTATCTCTTTATAATGTTCCGTCAGATCTCGACCGAACTTATATCACCAAAACAACTGCAGAGACAGCAAGACGATTAGGCATATCCCTCTCCCTCTCCCTCTCCCTCTCCCCTCCCCTCCCTCTGTCTTTCGTTTCCCCTCTCCCCCTTCCACGTTCTCCTCTGTCTTTCCTCTCCTACCTCCTTCCCCCTAGATGGTGGTAGCGATGGAGACGTGGAGAGAGCAGTGGAGAAATGCCCGTGATGGAGTTGTAGAGATGGTGGTAGCGATGGAGAAGTGGAGATGGTGGTGGCGATGGAGAAATGGAGATTGTGGTGGTGGCGATGGATACGTGGAGCAGTGACGGAGACGAGCAGCGATGGAGAAGTGGAGATGGTGGTAGCCATGGAGAAGTGGAGATGGTGGTAGCGATAGAGAAGGGGAGAGGTGGTGGTGATGAAGAACTGGAGATGGTGGTGGTGGCGATGGAGAAGTGGAGATGGTGGTGGCAATGGAGAAGTGGAGCAGTGACGGAGACGCGCAGCGATGGAGAAGTGGAGAGGTGGTGGTGGTGATGGAGAAGTGGAGATTGTGGTGGTGGCGATGGAGAAGTGGAGCAGTGACGGAGACGCGCAGCGATGGAGAAGTGGAGATGGTGGTAGCGATGGAGAAGTGGAGAGGTGGTGGTGATGGAGAAGTGGAGATGGTGGTGATGGCGATGGAGAAGTGGAGATGGTGGTGGCAATGGAGAAGTGGAGCAGTGACGGTGACCCGCAGCGATGGAGAAGTGGAGAGGTGTGGTGGTGATGGAGAAGTGGAGATGGTGGTGGTGGCGATGGAGAAGTGGAGCAGTGACGGAGAAGTGGAGCAGTGACGGAGAAGTGGAGAAGTGGCTCTCAAATATCCCCTTCTTCATCACCACTTCTTTCCATCATCATCATCATCATCATCATCACTGTGCTCGTGCAATCTTTTTCCATAGGGCCTCACTGCACTACTCTCCACATGCAGAAAAGACAAAAAATGTGGCGGTGTATCTTTCCATGTTCCAGCAGATGATTCATTCTCATTTTCCACACACATTTGAAGAGTACTGCAGCGAGGCCCATACGTAATCAGCAATCTGCTCCTGACCGCCGCCCCATTTTGGGGTCTTAGGGGTCTTTTTAGCCACCCCCCCTTCTCCATCACCTGTGCCATTCGTGCATCTCTGTGAACCCCTTTTCTGTCGTTATTTTTCTTTCTGTACATTTCATCCTTGCACTGGGGGAGGGATGATGTTCTCTCCCTCTTTATCTTAGGGCATACTACTCACACTGCCACCTTTCTTCTTACTTATTTCTGGATGTAATCGCGGTCAGATACATTCACGTACGGCCGTAATTGCAGTCAGATGCATTTAGGAAAGTGGCAGTGTGAGTATTCCCTTAGGGCGTACTCACACTAGCACCATCTTAAATGTATCTGACAGCATCTACGGCCGGTCCTGCATGTACATGACAGCAATTCCGTCCAAAAAATTAAGTAAAAAAGTGTTGAGTATGCGCTTAATCTAAGAAACTTAAAAAAAAAAAAAAAAAAAAAAARAAACCTACCCTTCTTAGCTCTCGTCCTCTCCTTCTCCCTCTGTATCACAACAAGAAATCCTTGGTTCTTTTCTGCTTTCTCTTTCCCTCCCTTTCATCACCCAATCTGCTCCTGAACACCGTACCCTCCTGGGACTTCGGCCCTCGCTTCACTACTCACCCCACGTCCAAAATGAGAATGAATCTTCCCCTAGAACATGAGAAGATACACCGCCATCTTTCTTGTCTTTTCTGCATGTGAGTAGCAGTGGAGCGAGGCCCCTTCGCCGCTCCCAGTGGGCAAATGACAGAGGCACACATCCCAAGACCTCCCTCACAAAGCCAGACGCTTTGGTTCGTTCACGACGGCGCTCCCCGGAGAGGCAGAGGGGTAGGAGGGGTAGGAGGGGAGGGGGAGGCGAGAGGGGGGAGGGAGGACGGGAAAGACGGGCAAGACGGGAGGTGGGAGGTGGGAGGGGGACCAGATTATCGATAGATTCGACAGCAATCCTCAACAATCAACATTCAATTGTGATCTCGATGAAGGCATTGCGCGCGCGCGCGCGCGCGAGAGAGAGAGAGAGAGAGAGAGAGAGAGAGAGAGAGGTGGGGAGGGAAGGAAGGAAGGGAGGGGGGAGAGGGAGCGGGACGCTGTTCATAGTTGCTCGATGTTCGTCTACTACCTCTCTCTCCGGTTGGCTGTAAAACTCAGTGGCAAGCACAGCCGCGCTGAGAACGACCGGGATCGGGACGATCGTGTGCTCGGATCGAGTACACGTGTCGATCATGCGCAGAGGGAGGGAAGCTTCACACAGGAAGACGTTTCCACTCCTCGGGTGACAGACAAGATGGCTTTCCACTTCCACTTCCACTCCCATCACCTGCGTCGCCATCATTGCAATGTGTCCTCACCTCCGTTCTTGGGAGAAAGCAGGGAGAGAACCGATATTCGGAGAGAGGCAAGGCACAAACCAATCAACTAGCACGTTGAAGTGGGAGAGGAGGGAGAGGAAGGAGAGAAGGGAGAGGAGAGAGAGGAGGGAGAGGGAGAGGGAGAGGGAGAGGGAGAGGGAGAGAGGAGAGGAGAGGGAGAGAGGAGAAAGGGAGAGGGAGCGGGAGAAGAGAGAGAGAGGAGGGAGAGAGGATGGAGAGGAGGAAGAGAAGAGGGGGAGGAGAGGCAGAGGCAGAGGCAGAGGGAGAGGGAGAGGGAGAGGGAGAGGGAGAGGGAGAGGAGGGTGAGAAGACGGGAAGAAGAGGGAGAGAGGAGGGAGAGGGAGCACGCTCCGCTTCGTCACGTTGAACCAAAAAAACTGAGGGAGAGAAGAGGGAGAGGCGGGAGAGGCGGGAGAGGAGGGAGAGGAGGGAGAGGTACCATGAACCTCGCTCCGCTTTGTCATGTGAACGAAAACGACCTTTCTTTTCTAATCCGCTAAAAATAGTAGAAAAGCCTGCCACGACACAGGAGATGGGCTTTCTACTATTTTTAGCGTCAGGCTTTTCTACTATTTTTAACGAATAAGAAAAGCCTGCCACAGGAGAGAGGGAGAGATGTGGCTAGGGTTTGACGAGGGGGTGGGCGGG